AAAAAAAATATTTTCCTGTGTTGTTTAGTATTAAATTATTGAAAAAAAATTAAATAATTTTTTGGGGTTAGGAAAAAATAAATTGTTCTATTATAAAAAGGGTTTGGGGTAAGTTTTCAAAATTCTTTTGGTGCAAAATTAAAAATTTTTACTAAACATTAATGAAAAAAAAATATTTTTAAACGTATATAGAAAATTTTTGGAAAGGATTAATTTTTAAAATGAGTTCTTGCAATTGCCCAGTTTTACATATTCGGCCGACATATATATATATATATTATATAATATATATATTATAATATATTTTATATATATATATATTATACAACATCAAAACTGTGACTAACAAGGACTCGAACCCATGCTGTTTTGGCCTGCCTCATGGTGGGCAAAAACTCATGACCCCTACTTGAGTCGTGAAGAACTTCAACAGGACTCGTATTTTATTTCATTCATGGTATGCAATACCTACAAGTTCAAAAATAAGATACAGGTGAAGCTTTGGAGTATCTTTAGATCCCACTACCCCCAACCCAGGGGGTTTTTTTCAACCCTGAACTGGAACAATGCAAGTAGTAAAACTTTTTAAGATGATCAGTCATTCGCCTTGACAGGTTTGAGTCCCTGAGCCTTGAAAAACTAAGGACGAACACCTGAAAGGGCTGGGGGACGAACACCGAAGGTAAGGGAGTAAACCCTCAAAATTACCCATTCTTCCCCACGTCTTCTTTATTTGGGTTTTGGGGGAAAAAGTCAATCAGTAAGAATATCAGTTTTGCATATGTACATGGAAGTACTGATAAAGCAAAGGGGAAATTTAGAAATCCCCTCATAGGCTATCCAGAAAAGGGGCTGTCTATTTCCACCCGGGAAAAGGACATCGGTTATTAGGGTTGTGTCAAGGCTGAAAAGGAGGTTTTTATCATTCCAAAATTACGCGTGTGTCTCGTGATTTTCTCTACCGGTAAGGGCAAAAAAGGTGAGTCTTTCCTCCCAGTACGTTGCAACTTAGCAGCAAAGGGGTGGGATGGTTTAAAGGGCCAGCTGTGTACATTCCCCCAGGCCCCGGGGCAGTTTTCCCCCTCACCGTCCACTACCGTCACTGATGATGGTCTCTCTGTCAGGGAGAGGAAGGTACTCATTTAGTGAGCCTCAGGCAAGTGGATATAAATATATTTTTAAAAATAATTTATAAAATATTATATAAAATATATATATATATATTATAAATATTTATATAAAATTTAATAAAATATATATATATATATAATATATATATAAAAATTTTATAAAAATATATATATATATATATAATAATATATAATTATATATATATATTATATATTATATAAAATATATAAATTATATAATATATATAAATAATTAAAAAATTAATATAATATTATATATGTATATAAATTATATATATATATATATTATATAAATAAATATAATATAATGAAATATAATAAATATTATATAAATTATATATATTATATATATTATATATAATATATTATATATATATATATATATAATATATATATATGATTATATAGTGGTGTGGGTGTCCCCGACAGGATAGTGAAGCCACACATACATTGGGTTGATATTTTTGACAATATCCTCATACTTGTGAAAATATTTGTTCAGTGAAACGCGTAAACGTGAGGTTTGGTGTGGTCGCCCTTTTTAAAAAAGAGATATAAAAACATTCAAATGCACTAAAAAAATTATTAAAACAATTAAGATAAAAAGGACATCTTCATATCTTTACTGGCAAATGCCGGCCCAAAAACACGGGTTTTTCTTTTTGGGGTTTAAAGCACATCAACAACACAAAAGTCTTTAAAGGTACCGAGCCTGTAAACCAAAAATTTAAATTTCTAAACCTCAGAGCATTTCACTGAGGACATTCCCTCTCGTTTTGTGTACATCTCGCCGGTTACGAAACGTTAGTTAATGAAATTATTTTTGTTTGGGTAAAGTTAACTGTGAACGATAGGAAATAACCCCATGGAGGAAAAAACAAAAAAGAGTAGCTGTCTGTATTTTCTACCTTTAATCAGGTCTTCTTCGGGGGATTTTTGATTATTATTATAATCAAAAAAAGCGAAAACCCAAAAGGGGAAAACAGCGATTTTTTGGGGATATTTGAAAGCTGAGATATCAAAAACTTTTCTTCCCATTTTTTTGTCTCCATGAGGTTAGATAAGGACAAGTGCTACTTGACGCGGGTTTTTTTGTCATATGTACCCGCCGTGGAGCTTTTGGGTCACTGACCGAGGACTTCCGCTGGCTTTACCGTCCCCCCTTCAAAAAAGTATGGTATTTTAAACATTTGGGTTATTTTTTCCCCCTTGACGAGCTTCATTTTTTATGTCTTATTAAATGGATATGTGTTATTTTTTTCAGAAACTCAAACACATATTTCGTTTTTAGCGCATTTTTTATGCATTAATTTTAATTTCATTTTAAAAAATAAAAATTTCAGTACCGTAGTGTTTAATCCACAAAATCAAGCTGTGCAGCCTTTCCTTTTGTAAAGCTTTAGCGTGATAAAACTTTACACAAAGCGAGTTGTTATCCAGATAAAAGCTTGTTCTGCAAGCTATATTTTTTTCCTTCATTCTCTATACCTTTGTTTGAGGCTGTGTGGAAGTTGTGGTCGGGATTTTGCCCTTGCTTTGTTTGTGTCACATTATTGCTTCTTTGCTGTGCTCGACATTGCGCATTCGTTTTAATTGTTTTGCTCACTTCTCTGTTGACTTTTCCCAACCCCGCTCCGCTTTTCCTCAACTGTGGTATATCAGTGGTAAAAAATATTGACAAGTTGATGACTAAGTTACATATGCAACACTTAGGTATTTTTATTACCGGAAACTTGTCGAAACGTGTCGAAACGCTTCAGATTGAAGAATTGATCACCTAAGAATTATCCCTTCACTTTTTCGACGGTTTCCTGTGTTACGGTGGCCTCTGTATTCGACCAAAGAAGCCTGCTGAGCAGGAGAAAGGTTTCAGCAATAGCTATTTCTAAGTACTGTACATGTCTTATTCATCAGCTGTGGTTGAACCAGGGGCTCTCTTCTAACATTCTTCTTCTCTTATCGGATATGAATTTTTTCCATTACCTTTCGGTATTTTCCTGCAAGGATTTTTTACCATCGCTTTCATTATCTTTGCTTCCACTTTCTCTTCCTGTCCTAGCTTATTCATGAACTCTTCTCATAAGCACATATTCTTCCGTAACTGCGAATTCAAGACTGACTCTTCAGGGATAAGTCTACGATTTGCGGACGGAGGACTGAGTTTCCACTTCTTCCTTTGAATAGCACACAATGGTCTAACACCCCTTGAAATACAGAACGTTATACCTCATATTTATAGACAAGGACTTGTTTTCCCGAGTCATCCTTTGTGTGTCTGATGCATTGCACACGAAGGTATATGTGTGTGTGTGTGTTTTACTGACGACTAGACACACGAAAACACAAACTAATCTCTCACCTTCCCAACAACGAGATCAGGAACGTGTAGCACCCAGCAGACCAAACCCCTTCTTAACAGAAGACTTTCGCCCAGATTACAACTTTATCAAGTGTTTTATAGACCAGATGAAGTGCTATTTAGTGCAAAGTGCATGCTACATTCGCAATTCCTCGTCTATTAGCCATTCGGTACAACGAAACACTAATTTTTCAATTAGTTTGAAAGGTCGAGTGATTGCTTATCCTGAAGGAGTCAGTTGATAAAACAGGTGAGAAACCCAACTTGGGATAAAAGATAAACCCAGTGCACCTGGGCGGATTTCCGTGGTTTTAATACAGGTGCGAAGTAGCTGCTGTTGTACATACTTATATGAAGTGTGGGTCATCTGGAAAGGCTAGTGTCAGGTATGGCAGACTAAGTAATGGTCTAACAGACTGAGTGCCTATCTGGCAGACAGAGTCTCAGTCTGGTAGACGGAGTCTCCGTCTGGTAGACAGAATGCCCGTCTGGTATACAGAGTCCCCGTCTGGTAGACAGAATGCCAGTCTGGTAGAGAGAGTGCAACACCAAGTTGAGAATAATGAGGAAGCAATTAACGCTGGTTGTAAGGATTTTTCGAGTTGCGAATGTGGAGACGAGGTTTATGTAAGGTTTGTTGTTGTTGTTTGTGTTGTTGTTGTTGCTGTTGTTTTTGACGTTATTGTTCTGAAGTTGTTGTGGTGGTAATAGTTGTGTGGTGTTAACAGTGGTAATTTCATGATAAAATGGTGATAATGGTAGTGGTTCAGGTCGTGGTAGTGGTACTGAATGTGTTGGTTGTGGAATTTGACGTGATGAACGGGAAAGAAAAGGAGGAGGAGGAAGAGGAAGAGGAGAAGAACGAGGTGGTAGTGTGGGTAGCCGTGGTTCAGATGGTGGGAGGGCTAGGGAAGATTGTGGTGGTGGTAGTAGTGAGGGAAGATGTGGCGGTGGTGGAGCTGTTGAAGAAGTCGAAGTTGAAGGTATTGGCTTAGGAAAAGTTGGAGACAAGAAGAGATCGAAGTATTCTCTGGGCCTGGAGAAGGGCTATGTCTTGCAAGCCTTTGCAACTTAAGTTCAGAAAATGCAAGCAGTATTGGTCAGCCTTCATATTGATACATACATACTTGTACTCATTGTGAATAAATGCGATTATATATATATATATATATATGAGGCGCTGTAAAGTAAAGTCTCAGTGGCTAGAATCAGGTGTTAAACTTTACAATGCAGAGGTTGTTTGATAGACATTTGTCAGTTACTTAGATGAGAATTTTACAAAAAAGTTACTAGGACACCGACAGCTCGGGTCATGTAGCTTGCATTATTTAGTGAAGCAACCTTCACCTGGATGTGGTTGCTCCAGCTGGGTTGTGTCTGCTAGTATCGTGGCATCTTTACGTGTTTTCACAGCTGTGAGACTGTTATGGAACACATGTGCAACATCTGGGTATCTTTATTGTAGACGTTTCGTCATCCAGTGGGTTTATCAATATAAATTCAAGGACATAATTGGAAGACAGAAGAACTATATAAAAAGATGAGGTAATCAGTCCCTCAACCTTGGAGTTGGTATGAAGATCACCGTAGTCGTGAAGATTTACGACCAATATTATATATATATATATATATATATATATATATATATATATATATATATATATAATATATAAACATTTATTAATAAACAGACTACATTTGCAGAAAACACAAATATGAATACAATGGAACAATGTATTAAAGATCATGAATTTCCTCCAGCTCCTCCAAAGCCGAACGCGAGCCAAGTATGCAGCAAGCATTTCCCCTCTGGATGCTCACGCTGAGGTGCTGAAACATGAAAGTGGCTGCCCTTGGGTCCCTGGTGGTGTCGATGCGTCTGGAACCCAATTCTTTAAGGAAACGTGTAACATTTTTTTCCCGTGATCCCAAGGTCTCTGATCCCACTGGGACAAATTGATACTGTTGGCTTATGTCCCTGTACTTGCTGATCTTGATCTTGTACTCCTCCCTGTGGTCAGCAGCTTCTTCCTGTCGCCCGACACTGCGATGGATATAGGTGTCAGCCAGTGTGGACACACAGGTATAGTCCCATGCTAAGAGCTTGCCATTCTTCCAAGGATAGATGGTGATCCCGTCGGGGCAGTTTGCTGGGTTGTGGGTATTGTTGGCTGCTAGTGATCGGGGCTCCCTCTCGGCTGGGCATCCAGCTGTAGCAAGGGTTCTCTTTATGATGTCGTTGACCTCATTGTGTATTGTATGCCAGCCATTGGTTTTGGAACAGTTAAGACCTTGTAGACCGTATTGGTCTGCTTGTGCTTCGCTGCAAATACGCGTATATTCTGTGTGAATTGGGGCAGCAAGGCGCAGAGCCACTGCAATAGGGAGAGTCTTAGAGTCGAGTCGTGTTTCCATTGTCGATATGGGAACTGTTTGGAGGAAGTCCCCGGAGCGAGGTGCGCTCATAGCCTGGAGACGGGCAGTCTCCCTATCTGATGTTGCAACCCTGAGCATGTTGACAAGCACCTTTTCAGCGATCAGGCCATCCCAGCTTGACTGTGAGCCAGTGCTGCACTAGGGTTTGGTGCTGGAGCAGCAAGAGTCTCC